CCCAAGCTGCCACCCAGTCGTTACTCCACGGCCCCGCCTCGTTTGATTTCCTCCACAGCGCGTGTCACCCCTGAAATGACTGTGCTCCTGGTCTGTTTACAGTTGAGTGTCGTCTCCTCGCAACTGGAAGGTGAGACCTTTGTCTACCCTGGGGCTGCTCAAAGCAGCACTGGGGTGGCCACAAGGAGGTCACAGTGCCACCTGCTGGCGCTGCGCCAGGATGCACCAAGCCAGGGAAGAGCCTGGCTCCACTCACACCCCACAACCCTGAGCTGGGCGCCCAGTCCCCAAGACCTCCTCAGACCCCAACGGCTCCCCTGTCCCTGTGGGCATCTGGGTGCCTGGCCTTCAGGGGGAGAGTCTGTTGTGGGTTGAACTGTGTCCCCGGAAAGACATGTTGAAGTGCTAAGGCCTGGCACCTGTGAATGAGACCTTACTTGGAAATATTGTCTTTGCAGATGGAATCAAGTTAAGACGAGATCATACTGGATTAGGGTAGACCTCAATTCAATGAAGGGTGTCCTTTTTTTTTTTTTTTTTTGAGGAAGATTAGCCCTGAGCTAACATCTGCCGCCAATCCTCCTCTTTTTGCTGAGGAAGACTGGCCCTGAGCTAACATCTGTGCCTATCTCCCTCTATTTTATATGTGGGATGCCTGCCACAGCATGGCTTGCCAAGCGGTGCCATGTCCGCACCTGGGATCTGAACCAGTGAACCCCAGGCCGCTGAATCGGAACGTGTGAACTTAACCGCTGCGCCACTGGGCTGGCCCTCAAATGGTGTCCTTTTAAGAAGAGGGAAAACTGGACATGGACACAAAGAAAAGGCCACATGAAGACGGAAGCAGAGTCTAGAGTGACACATCTACAAGACAAGGGATGCTAATGATTGCTGGCAACCACCAGAAGCTGGAAGAGGCAAGGAAGGATCCCTTCCTAGAGCCTTAAGGGAGAGCATGGGGAGCCGACACCTTGATTTGGACTTCTAGCCTCTAGAACGGGGAGAGAATAAATTTCTGTTGTTTTCAGCCTCTCAGTTTGTAGTACTTTGTTTTCAAAGATTTAATTTTTTTCCTTTTTCTCCCCAAAGCCCCCCAGTACATAGTTGTATATTCTTCGTTGTGGGTCCTTCTAGTTGTGGCATGTGGCATGTGGGACGCTGCCTCAGCGTGGTTTGATGAGCAGTGCCATGTCCGCGCCCAGGATTCGAACCAACGAAATACTGGGCCGCCGGCAGCAGAGCACGCCAATTTAACCACTTGGCCACGGGGCCAGCCCTGTAGTACTTTGTTATGGCAGACATGGGAAACCAATACAACACCCCCACTGCACTGACCCCCACCTCTGCCACCCTGGCCAAGTGCAGCCAAGCCTGTGTTTCAGGAAGAGCTCCAGGAACCTGATGATGAAGTAGGCGGTGACCTGGGGCAGGGAAGATGGAGTGCAGGTGAGTGCCCACTAGACAACCAGCCTTGATCGTCATCCTCATCTTCAGCATCACGCCTTCCTTCCTCGAATCAACCCTGACCACAGGACACCTCCTTCCAGCATATCTGTCTGGATCCACCCACGGCCCAGGCAAATCTTGCCAATAACACATGAATGATCTCAGAGACAGACCCCACCCGAGTCGAGGCTCAGATGAGACAGTAGCCCCAGCTTCCTGGGAGACCTTGAGGCCGAGGCTCCCAGTTGAGCCGAGCTTGGATCCTGGTACAGAAGCTGTGAGATGGTCAATGTTTGTTCTTGTAAGCACTAAGTTAGGGTAATGCTGTCACACAGCATAGACAACAAGTTCCTCCTTCCAGGCTGGGTCTGGCCCTGCCCTCCTCCCTCCTCCCATCTCTCCTCCCCAGCTCTCTCCAGCCACACTGGCTCCTTTCTCACCTCCCCTCTGGCCAAGTTCTCTTCTGCCTCAAGTCTCTGTACTTTTGAGCTCCTCCCTTGCCCCCACCCCCAGCACACCACCCACAGATGGATGCAGGGCTGGGTCCTCTTGTCCTTCTGGTGCCAACAAATGTCCCCACAGAGGCCTTTTGGATCCACCTAGGGGCTCCCGGCCCTCCCTCCAGCGCCTGCTTCATTTCCCTGGAGTCCCTGCTCTTCTCTTTCATGTGGATTTGCTTTCACGCTTTGTCCCTTCCTCCTCCAGGCTGTGAGCTCCTGGAGAGCAGGGACCATGTGGGTGCTGTCCACCTCCAGGCCCAACACGGCCCTGCTCAGGGTGAGTACTGGGGGCAAAGTAGCTGCAAGAATAAAAAGAGGATCTCAGAGCACCCACCTTGGCCCTCCCACCTCTGAGCAGCTCACAATGTGGACAAGGATGCCCACGATAGAAGGTGCCTGTGGGGTTGGTGGGGGGGGAGCCCAGATTGACCCGTGGGTGTCCCTTCCCTGATCAGGTTGCTCCATGAGCACAGCGGGCAGAGCCCGCCCCCTGGTGGTCAGCCCCAGCACTGCAGCCCCGGACTGGAAACCAGAAAACAAAACACACACCTTTGTTTGGGTGTAGTCTAGGCAGTGGATCCACCAGGGCCCAGGAGGCAAAGGGGCAGGACCTACAGGCTCCAGGGGCCACGTGCGGGACCTCAGAAGCCTCCCTTGTCCCCTCTTTCCCTCCACTGAGCCTGGCATGTCCAGTTCACTCATGAGGCCTCCTCAGCCCAGCCAGGGCAATGACTCCGCCCCACTTCCAAATGAGGACCCCGATGCTCCAAGGAAGGCCTTGTCCCTGGTCCCTGGACAAGTGGCCCATTGTTCTGCCACGTTCTGCACTACCCAGGTCACAAGCCCCCAAGGCTCTAGGCTGGCTGCCCTCTGCTCAGAAGGACCTCAAGGGAGTAGAAAGCATCTTCCAAGGACTTGGAGCACATGGGTCATGGGTGGAGAACTAAGGTCAACTGACTCTTCTATGAGTCTGTGGGACTCTTGGGGCCACCCCGTCTATACACCCCAATTTATAGAGGAATAGGCTGAGGCCTTCTCTCCTGAAGCCCCCTCCACATTAGGGAGGCGGAGTGTCCTCCCAGTTCCAGGTGCCCAGAGTGACAGATGCAGGACCCCAGGAACCGTCCTCTCCAGGCTGCCCTTGGGATGGTCCCTGGCCAGCAGCCCCCTGGCAACCCTGGGGATGCGCTGGCCACAAGTCTGACATCTCTCTCCCTCCCCATTCTACGGACCTGGCCTACGGACCTGGCGTGTGTGTAGGGGCCGGCAGACCCCTGCCTCATGGCAGAGCTGCCTCCGACCTCTTTCTTCTTTTCCGTCACCTCCCAAGTGTGCACTCCTCCTCTGACACCACTCCCCGGTCCCTACCTGTGAAGTCAATGTGCGTGTATGTACCTGTGGGCGCGTGGGGATGCCCAGAGGAAACAGCCCCACATGAGAGGGGGTGGACAAGGAGCCCCCAGGATGTTAGGGGCTCTCATTCCCAAAAGAAACCCAACAGGAGGGTTGAGTCCTGGCCTAGGAGGCTGGAACCCTCCAATCTCCCCTGGACTCTGCCACCCCGTGGCCCGGAGCCAGTCCCTGCCTGTCTCTTGGCCTCAGTCTCCCAATTGTACCAGGAGGGGTTGAACGCGGAACTGCGTAAGCGCGCGCTCAGCGTGGACGCGGCGTCGTGCTCCCTCCCCGCCGGATGGGGTGTGGGCGGGGGGCATGCGGCGGGGAGGGCGGCAGGGCCGGGCCGGGCGGGGCACTCACCTGGCAATCTACCATCATCCTCAGCCCTGGCAGCGCATCGCCGGCCCCAGGGCGGGGCCCGGGGCTCGCAGAGGCCGGTGGCCTCGGCCCGCGCGCGGCGCAGGGGGGCGCTCGGCTGCGGGGCTCATGGCGCGGCCTCCCGTCCCCGCCGGGCCCGGGGCTCCGCGGCCACCGCCGCCGCCCGCGCCGCTCCCATTGTCCTCGCTGCGCCGCGCCACCGGCCGCTCGGGCCCCGCTGCTCGGTTCCGCCGGGCTCTGGGCTCCGGCCGGGTGGGCGGGGACAGCCGCGGCCCCGCCCCCTCCCGGCCCCGGCCCGCCCGCAGGTGTGAGGGGCGGGCCCCGCCGCGCGAGCTCCCCGGGGGCGCGCTCGGGGGCGCGCACGGGCCTCCCTCCCGCAGGCGGACGTGGGTGGGCCCCGCTGGGGCAGCCGGGCCTTGTGTCCACAGCCGGGCGCGCACACGGGGCCTGCGCGGGCCCGCGGACAGCGCGTGCACGTGAACCCCGCCCTGCCGCGCGCGCACAGCTCACCGAGGGCTCAGCGCGGGGCTGGTCCCCGTGTCCCCCGCCCCCACCGCCTGCTCCGTGCCTCCTACGCCTCCTAGGATCTCGGGCCACCTGAAACCCGACCAGGCGGGGGCTGCTGGGCGCTGGGCCGGGTGGTTGTGGAGGCCTGGGGACGCGGGAGTCACTGAATATACAACCCCATCCTTCTGTCCCGGTCCTCATATGCCACCTGCAGGGGCAGCTTGGTGGATATCTGGGGACAGGGGGACCGGGAGGTGGCAGTGGACACCGAGTGTAGGCAAGGAGGTTAGGCCGCCCCTTCCGCCTCCTCCATTACACCCCCCTTCCCCTTCTTCTTGCAGGACCGCAGGACACGAGGTCCAGCCTATCCTTGACTGCAGCCCTAGCTGGTGTGGAGGGGCTGGAGGGAGCCCAGGGAAGTGGGCCCACCACCGGGAGGGGCGGGGGTAGGGGGGTGGAGTTACTGTTAGGGAGCCCCTGGGCACTGAGTGATTTCACCCCATTTTATAGATGAGCAGTGGCCCCAGCACTCAGGGTCACTCTGCTATAAGTGACCAGGTCCAGCCAAACCCGGCGCTGACCATCAGAGGCCTGCCACGTGTTGGTGCTCCCCCAGCCAGGCCACGGCCTCAGTCCAGCTCTTTGGGCCCCTTCATCTCCTGCTTTAATCCCAGCACACCCTCCCGAGGGCGGAGTCACTGACCCCATTCTCAGTGGAGGAAACTGAGGCTTGAAGAAGTCACCACATGAGCTGGCCTGTCCCAGGGCCGGGGCATGGCCCAGCTGGGGTCGCAACCTAGGTCAATCTGACCCCAAAGGCTGTGCTTGCACAGGAGCCCAAGGAGGTGCCTCTGAGCCCAGCCTTGGAGGTGAGTCCACGGAGGTTGGGGGGCGACAGGGAGGGACACTGCAGGCAGGGGGCTCTGAGAGGGGCAAGGGCTTGGCGGGCTCCCTGAGGGAGGAAGGCTCTAGGGAGGCTGGAGTGGGGTGAGGGGTGCACAGGGGAGGGCATCTGGCCCGGGTCACACAGGACTCTGAGTGTTGGGCAAAGAGTCAGGAGTCACTGCAGGTTGGGGGCAGCAGGGGCCACAGTGCAGGAGGTTTGATCAGAGCCCCAGCATCTCAGAGTTGGAGGGAGCTTAGTGGGCACGTGATCCACCCCACCCAAGCACACATCCGTGAGCCCCAGCCAGGCATGAGGCCTGCCTTAGTTTCCTCCTGTGCACGGTGGGGGCTGTGGAGGTCGTCTGCCTCCTCCCAGAGCTGGGCATGCTGTCTGGGGGGCCCAAAGATGGCTCTTCTCAAGGTAGTTGCCCAAGAAGAGTCAGTGTCCAGAAGTCTTCCAGCTTAATCTCATTTAATCCTCATCCCAGGGCCTTACAGAGGTGGCGTGACCTGCCCAACATCCCACAGCTGCTGGGACAGACGGAAACCTGTGTTCTTTCAGCTGCCTCACATTCACACAGCCATTCAACAAACATTCCTGGAGTGCCTCCTGGGCTTCAGGTACCAGGGAAACCTGGTCAGCCACCATAGGTGTCCTTTGGAGTCTACCCACTGGGGAAAGGGGTAGGGGTTGGCAGAACATTGTAAATGATGACACAGCGTGAGGAGGATTTATGGGAACACCGAACAGCACCTGCTCTGGAGGGGGGCACAAATCAAGGCAGTCTTCCTAGTGGAGGTGGTGTCAGGAGTGAGTCCCCAGGAATTGGCCAGGTGATGGGACCGGGAGGCCTGACTGGTGGGCTGTGTGAGCAGAGGTGTGCTGGGCCAGGCCATACAGTTGAGCGACCATTTTGGATGGTAATGCTGGGGAGGAGCCTGTTGGCCATGAAGGGACAGGAAGCTTCAGTTCCAGGGGTCTCCATTGCAGGGGGCGCTGCGGATATTTGTAATTTTGTCTATTTCTTAAAGAAGTACTTCTACAATTTAAAAAAGCTCAGAGTTCCCAAACTGATCTGCTCTGGCAAGATTGGTGCCCAGAGCTCAGATCAGGCCCTGGCAGCCAGGCTGAGGGCTGCTGGGGCTGCCTCTGGGCACTCCTGCCCCCTCTGCTGGGTCGGGCCGGTTCCCCTCCCCTCTGCCCGCCCCAGGCCCCTTGCTTCTTCCCACCCTGGAGCAGCTCTGCAGCTCTGGCCCCAGGCCCTCAGCTCCTCGGGGAAGTAGCCTGGATCCTGGTTTGGTTTCAGGAGTTGGGGCCTGTCACCCACTCAACTCATGTCTGAGGACCATGCCCTGGGATGGGGACCAGGGTCAGTCAAAGTCCCTTGTGGGGGCTTAGGTCCAGGAGATGCTGGGCCCAGAGCTGGGCTGGGAGTGGGGTGGGGGCTCCCTTCTCCCCTGCAAGGCTGGTGGTGCCCAGGCCTGGGGGCTACCTGCTCCTGAGCCTTCCCTGGTCTTCACATCCAGGGGCCTCTTCTTTGGCACAGCCCTGCTTCATAGCCCCTCCCTGCCCTGGGAAGGTGCTCCCTGCTGGGGACACACGGGCCATGGATCCACCTGCGCATCAGTCCAGGAAGCACCCCAGGGCCTCTCCCTGACAGGGCTTCTCCCTGACTCGTGCGCTGCGGCCCAGGCTGTCTCCTCACTTGGTCACGGTCTGTCTGCACTCTTGTGATCTGTCCCTGCTCACGGGCCAAACCACAGGTTGCAGGAAGAGTGGCCTCAGGGCTGAACCCTAGCTTTGCCAGGAGTGGCCAGGTGCCCATCCCGATATGGCCACAGAGTGCACCTCTCCCCACCCTCCCCTTCTCCTTTCCACAGCAAAGATGCTGCTGCCCCCAGGGGAGTGGACACGAGGCCACCCAGCCCTGAATCTACACCCCCCCTCCCGCCCCCGCAGACAGACAGAACCAGTGTGGGGCTCTCAAGTCCCTCTGGGGCCACGCTGGTGAGGCTGCCCTCACAGGTCCTCTGATCCTGAGTCTGCGCCACACCCACCAGTGTCCTCACAGGCTGAGGCGGACCCGACACAGGAGGGCTAGCAGACGTATCTTTTATGCACTGAGGGACTAAGAACCCACAGGGTATCCCGCTGATGGGCTCTGCTCCCCTCGACTCGGTCGGGAACGTGGCACGTCTGACAGCACGCTCCCACGGCACCCACTCTCCAGAACGAAATCCTGTCTGTCACAGCAGCCGGCTTTAGCCCAGGTTTTCTGAAAAGCTGTCTCCTCCCTCCCCCACCGCCACAAGTTGATTGTATTTGAAATCCAGGCTGCCTGTACCCCAGCGGCTGGCAGCACAGACACTCAGAGGTGCAGGGGAGAACACCTTGGTTAGGGCCTAGCACATGTAACCTTTATTAAAAACTGGCCCGACCCCCTTACAAAGGAGGCGGCTAGTGCCCGAGAGTGTGGTCCGCCAGTGGGTGCAGGCTGGACCTGAAACCAGAGAGAGCCTAGAGCTGGTCCATGTCAAAGGCTCACTCCGGGGCCCTGAGTGAGGAACTGGCTCCATGTGGCTGGGGGACATCACGGTACCCGGGAGCCCCTCAGCCAGAGAGAAGGGGTCTGGGACACCTTTCACACCAGGATGTCAGAAGTGTAGCTTTAAGGGCAATCGGCAACAAGAGGGGCAGGGGTGGGACGCAGGCCCTGAGCAGAGCCGGGACTCCAGATCCTGCCCCGAAGGCACGTCTGTGGGGGAAGGCCTACCCTCTTTGAGCTCTGGTCTCCCTTCCTCGTGTCCGACCATTCTGGGGCCATGCTGCTGTGTGACCTCTGGGTTCTCCTCCAGTAGGCACAGCCCTTTACAGTTTACAAGGGCCTTGCCACATCCATTTTCTGGCTGGATTCTCCTGGCAGACTGAGAGGAAAGCAGGACAGGGCTGGGATCAGCTAAGGCTTGAGGGGTGAGGCACTGGTACAAGGCGGCTCCATTGGGGCAAGGTGGGTGCTCCGCTGGGGTGAGGTGGGTGCTCCTCTGGGGCGGGCTGGGTGCTCTTCTGGGGCAAGCTTGGTGCTCCTGTGGGGTGGGCTGGCTCCAGGGCTTGGGGTCGCCCTCCAGGGCAGCCCTGGCTCTGCTGTCAGCTCCTCAGCCAGCTGGTGTCTTTGTCCAGTGTAGAAAAGCGGATCAGCTTCAGGCTGGGTGGCTGGCGCTTCCTGTCGTCCCAGAGGTACTCTGGGGATAGAACTTTGGAGGGCTTATGTGAGATGAAGCGGCGGTTCAGGTGGCTCTCCTCCTGCCAGGCTGCCATGATGCCATTGGCCTTGTCTGCCAGGATGGCCATGTGGCAGCCCCTGGTAAACTCGTACACGTTGGCTACCCGCCCCCCAAAGACCGCCCCTCCATAATAGAAGTCCCCCTCACCGTCTGCCACGAAGGCAGTAGAAACATGCCTGCGCTCGTAGGGGAACTGTTGGCGGGGTACAGCATAGTAGCCCGGGTGAATGGCAGCCACTAGGTCTCCCAAGGTCTCAGGGCCCCACGGGTTCCGGAACACCATGTCCACATCGACGCAGAAGAGGTAGTCCACCTCCCGGTGCGCCCTCTTGGCAATGTGCTGGCTGATGATCTCCATCCGGCGCGTGGAGATCTCCTCCCAGCGGGAGTGCCTCTGGATGGGGATGATGCCGAGGCGGCGGCCAGGGCCCAGCGGGACCTGGGGAATGGCCGTGGGGTCGTCAGTGAAGACATAGTAGCATACCCGGTAACCGTGCATGAAGAACAGCTCGGCCGACTCCAGGAAGTGCTGGACGAAGTGGGTGTACCTGGTGGCAATAACCACAACATCCACCACAGCCCTGGCAGGGCCACTGCCTGGGTTCCCACCATGCGCTGGCGATGCAGGGCCAGGCTGGGGCCCCCCCTCTCAGCTCCCCACCTCAAGCAGTCACTCAGGTCTGACCCTCAGGGTCCTCCTCTCAAATTTCCACAATCACAGTACCAACCTCTTAAGACTGTCGTTAAGAATGATGCTTCAGGATGACTCTTCCATTCACAAACCAAGCTAACTTTATTGAGAACTTACTGAGTGCTGGGCAGTGTTCTTATCTCCTTTGAGCCTCAAAAACTCGCTACAGGGCAGGCACCGTAATCCCCATTTTATAGGTAAAGACACTGAGACCCAGAGAGAGAAAAGGAAGCAAGCAGCAGCCCAGTGGCTGCATCAAAGCTGTGGGGGTCCCGGAGGCGCAGAGCCGAGGAAACTATGTGGCCCCACGCCCCAGGCCACAGCCGATTGGACCAGGGGCTCATCTGACCCCAGGGGGGCCATCCAGCATCTGGCCAGCACTTTTTGCCTTGGGGCCCCATCATGGTCCCTCTCTCAGAAGTCCCAGAAAGGGACCTAGAGGCAAGCAGCCAGGTGGTGGCTCCTAAAGCAAAGGCCAGGTGGGGTGAGGGAGGAGAGAGGAAAACAGGAGGGATCCAGAGAGTGGGCAGACAGAGCCGGTAGAGGAGAGGGTCCGGAGGGCGGGGCCAGCTCTGTCTGGGTCTCTTGATGTGCCTGTGGCCTGCCCATGGACCCCCATTTATATAAGGTGATCTGGGGGGTCCATCCCTTCACGCCTGCCTGGACTGTTCAGGGGGAGCAGCAAGGGGTGAGGGGCACCTGGCAAAGGTTCCTGCTTTTCCTTCACCTGGGCTGCCTGCTCCCCTTCCCTGCCAGGGCCAGACCCCCTTCCTCCAGGAAGACCCCCTCCCACTCCACTCTCCCTTCCTACCCGCGCAGCACCTGGGTCAGGGCCTCCCTCGTCGGGCAGGCTCCCATCTCTCCCAGACTGCACGCTCCTGTGGCTCAGAGAGAACCCTCCCTCGCCCAGCCAGCCGTGACTCACTTCCCCACGGCGAACACCGTGAGCCCGATGGTCAGGTTCAGCGGCTGGTAGATGTGCTGCAGAAGCTCGGCGTTGAAGGTTCCCTCGGACACGATGGGCGCCAGCCAGGGCGTCAGCGTCAGCAGCTCTGTGGGCCTGGCAGCAGGGGAGGCCGTGGGGGTTGAGACGCTGTGTGACCCTGGGCAGCTTTGTCCCAGTCTCTGGGCCTCAGTATTCTCGTGGAAAGTGGAGATGATAACAGCAGCCTCCCAGCGCGGTTGGGAGGGCCAGGAGTTAAAGCACATCAAGTGTCTAGAAGAACCTGGCATTTCAGCTGCCTGCTGTGCCTAGTAAATGGGAGCGCCAGTATCATCATAACACGGGACTGAGCACCTGCTATGCAGCAGGTGCAATGCTGTGCATCTCACAAACACCGTCTCATCTGGTCCCCCCACCTCCTGTGAGGTGGGTACTATCATTAATCCACCTGTACAGAAAAAGCTCAGAGTAACAGGGTAACCCGCCCAAGGTCACACAGCTACTGACAGAGCCTAGGTCCCTGACTCCCAGTGTGTCTTTCCACCATCCCAGACTACCTGGACCCCAAGGCCTGAGACCTCCACCACCCCAACTAATGAATCAGAGCTGTCCCCCTCACCTACCACCCAGGTCTCTCCATTCTGCACCCAGGCCCTGACCGACACCTACCTCTGCTCCAGCAGCTTGGGCTGGGGGTACCGTGACCTGCAACCAGAAGGGCCAGTGGTGAGGGGAGGCAGCTCCCAGCCCCAGGACCACAAAAGGGAAAATGACAGTTTACTTACTGTGCCACAGGCTGGAACAGCTTCTCCCCCTTGTACTGCAGCTTCATGTTGCTGGTAGTGGAGGAGAAAGAGCCATTAGGGCTGGGCGGGGGGCAGAGACACTCAGCACGTGAAGGATGAAGCTGAGCTTAACCAAAGAGCCCCACGGGGCAGGTACCACCCAGGTTCCATGCAGACTCCCGGGAGCCAACCCCACCACCGCTCTGCCCTCTGCGGGGCTGGGCTCCTACAGAAGCGGTCTGTCCAGGGGCACTGAGTGGCAGGGCAGCGATTCCAACCTGGTGGTCTCTGTGTTCAAAGCTGATGCCTTTTCAACTATGTCACTCTGTAGGAGCCCGGCATGGGGCGGAAGGTTTGAGAAGGAGCAAAGGCCCAGTGAGCCCAGTTCTGCCACCTTCTTGCAAGATTCCAAGCCTGGGAACCTTGGGGGAGTTACTTAAGCTGAGCCCACGGTGATGGTCAGTGTAGTGCCTGGTTACTCAAACAGCAATCAAGGCACTGCCCTGAAGGTATCCTGGAGATGGGATCAGCGTCTATACCAGCTGACTTTATGTAAAGATTATCCCGGATAATCTAGGTGAGCCTGATCCAGTAAGAGGAAAGGCCTTAAGACCAGAACTGAGCTACCCATGAAGAAGAAATCTTCAGTCCGCCCGTGGACGGACTGCCCATGTGTTCCCGCCTGCATTTCCCGCCGGCCTGCCCTTCCGATCTCAGCCCAACCTAGCCACCCCACAACTGTGTAAGCCAATTCCTTGTACTCTCTCTCTCCCCCTCTTCCTCCTTCCTCCCTCCCTCCTACCAGTTCTGTTTCTTTAGTGCAACCTGGCTGATACACCCACTTCTTCTCATCTGTGAAATGGGTAATGACCCTCAACCCTGAGGGCTGCTGTGAGAATTAGCGAGGGACGCGAGCCTGCGGTTCTCAGCCCGGCGCAGCACGGAGCAAGCGCTCAGTAAGACCAGGCAGCCTGGCCCTCGCTCGGCAGGCGGCGCGTGTGGCCAGCCTTCCTGAGCTTCAACCAACGTCAGCGGGCTGGAGAAGGAAGAAGCGGGTCCCTGAGGAAGAAGGCTGCAGGCTGCACGGGGGCCTCTGGCTCTGCCACCATCTACCTGGCCGAGACCTGAGGCCAGACATTTGACTCATGGGACACTGGTTCCCTCAGCCCTAAAACGGGGACAATAAAACCTTCTGCTTAGAGTCCTTCCCCAGAGGGTGGAAGTGAGGTCCAGAGAAGGGAAAGGTCTGCCCAAGGCCCCCAGGGAGTGGGGTGAGAGCCAGCTCCAGAAGAGGCCTGAAGTCAGCTCTGTAAGGCTCAGACCGCCAGAGGACTCAGCGCCTGCCATGCACCAGGGACTTTCAATATGCCGATCCTGGGGCATGGCTTCAGCCTCCTTCAGTTTTCCCACCTTTTTTATTTTTTAAGTCAGAATTGGGGTGAGTTTATTATGAGCCAGAGTGAGGATTATAACCTGGGAAGGCCTCAGAAGGCGTTCCCTTTTCCCATGTTTTTTAGTCTATGCTTTTTTTTGTGGTAAAATATACACAACAAAGATTTACCATTTTAACTGCTTTTTTCTTCTTTTGAGGAAGATTAGCCCTGAGCTAACATCTGCTGCCAATCCTCCTCTTTTTTGCTGAGGAAGACTGGCCCTGAGCTAACATCTGAGCCCATCTTCTTCTACTTTATATGTGGGATGCCTACCACAGCATGGCTTGCCAAGCGGTGCCACGTCCACACCCGGGATCCCAACCGGCAAACCGCCGAAGCAGAACGTGCACACTTAACCGCTGTGCCACTGGGCCGGCCCCTTAACTGTTTTTAAATGTACAGTTGAGCAGCATTAAGTATATTGCATTGTTGTGCAACCATCACCACCATCCATCTCCAGAACTTTCTCATCTTCCCAAACTGAAATTCTCTCCCCATTGAACACTCTCTTCCTTTCCCCTCCCCCAGCCCAAAAGCCATATTCTACGTCTATCTATGAATTCGACTATTCTAGAGACCTCAGATAAGTGGAATCCTACGATGTTTGTCCTTCTGTGATTAGTCTGTACTCTTGAATCAACAATTTTTTGAAGTCAATCCATCAAATCGTCCCTCTGCCCTAGTTTCACGTAAACCAGCACATTCAGGTCCCTGCTCAGAAAGTGATGGGACTCTGAGAAGGGGGTCAGAAGTGGGAAAGGGCCCCAGGACACTGGCACCAGCCAGCCCAGTGCTCCACTTCCCTGGCAGTTGGCTCCTCCCCTCTCCCTACAAGCCCAGACAAGATCCAGCTGCATTCAAGAGTTAGCTGTAAGAACACTGAACCACAGACGAGCCAGGGCCAGAACAAGGAGCTTCACGTTTCCAAACCGCAGAAGGAAACAAAACTAAAAGAAGAAATCCAAATGAAAAAAGGGGAAGTTGTGACCATCAAAAGCAAACAAAAACCTCCAATTTCAATCTATTAAAAAAATAACTTGGGGCCAGCCCCGTGGCATAGTGGTTAAGTTCAGTGCTCTCTGCTTCAGCAGTCCGGGTTCGTGGGCTTGGATTCCAAGCACAGACCTGCACCACTCGTCAGCCATGCTGAGGCAGCGACCCACAAATAAAGTAGAGGAAGATTGGTACAGATGTTAGTTCAGGGCTAATCTTCCTGAGCAAAAAAAAACCCAACCAAAAAAACTCCACCTCAGTAGAACCAAGGCAGACAAACTAGAAAGAAAAATAATGTAGCAAATGCACTGGGTCAAGGATGATGACTGAGAACCACAAACAGGCCAAAGAAAGGTCACCGAAGAGGAAATTCAACTAATGAGAAGGCGTGGGGGAAATGAAGGCCTCAGGAGGAATCAAAGAAATGAAATTTAAACCAAAGAGATAGCACCTCCCATCTCTGGAATCAGCAAGGTGGTGTGGTCTTTGTTTCTCATAATACCCGGTCCTTCCAGCGCTGGCCCAGATGCAATGCAGCTGCCCAGCTGGGAGTGGTGAGTGTGTGGATCTGAGCGTGTGATGTGCCACCGTCCCTCTGAACAGCAACCTGGTGAGCTGGATGGAAAACCCATCCATATCCTCTGGCCCAGGAAGGGAACGTATCAAAAGAAAGGATCTTTAAGATGGAAAAAGCTTTCTATCCAAAGCTGCTCCTTACAAACTATGTTTCCAACACTGAGAAATTAGAAACAACTTAAATGCTCCACCCTTGCTGGTGGGAAAGGGGGAGGGGTCCAAGAATTATGACCCAACCCGAGGGGGGTAAAATGATGGTGACCACCCAGAGCATGAATCCACACCGAAAAATAAAGCCAACTCTGGGAAAACAGGATACAAATCGCAAAAACATTACGATCACAACTATTTCCAATAGCAAGCAGCCTTTCTGCTTTTAGAACCAAGTAAGTGCACAGTCTGTTCAATTAGAAAATGCAGCCACCACCAAGCCGACAATGAACTCTGGAATCAGCATAACTCAGACCAGTGGGACCCTCGGGAGCTTTTTTCTTTCTTGTTTTACAGCTTCCTAATTTCCTATATTCTGTGTTTATAATAATAAAACATGCCTTGTTCATTATAGTCTATGATCCTGATTTAAACGTTCTGTTGTTAGTGCTGTCAAGTCAGTTCTGACTCCTCCACCCGCTGTGGACAGCAGAATGGAACCCTGCCCGGTCTTTTTGCTCCATCATCTTACCTGCGGGTACTCTATCAGGCAGCGCTCTGCTGCTGTTCACAGGGTTTGCATGGCCAATTTCTTCAGAAGTGAGTGGCCAGGTCCTTCTTCCTAGTTTGTCTTAGTCTGGAAGTTCTGCTGAAACCTGTCCACCAAGGGTGACCCTGCTGGTATTTGAAATACTGGTGGCATAGCTTTCAGCATCACAGCAACCTGCAGCCACCACAGGATGACAATGGACGGATGGGTGGTATGGTTTCCTGACTGGGAAATGACCCTGGGCCGTGGTGGTGAGAGTGCGGAATCTTAACCACTAGACCAAGAGGGCTGGCAAACTTTGCTTTAGCTGTCATGAAAAACAAGAGACCATGGGGGCCAAATGCCCCCTCAAGACCATCGCAACCCAACTGTCATTGCTCTTAACTGTCAAAAGTCAGATTCGTTATGTGGGGAAGACTGGTCACATGTTAATTTGTTCTTTGAATCCACATAGAACACAAAATTGGGGCTGGTCCGGAGGTGCAGTGGTTAAGTTCACATGTTCCACTTCGGCGGCCCCGGGTTCACCGGTTGGGATCCCAGGTGTGGACATGGCACCACTTGGCAAGCCATGCTGTGGTAGACGTCCCACATAGAAAGTAGAGGAAGATGGGCTCAGATGTTAGCTCAGGGCCAGTCTTCCTCAGCAAAAAGAGGAGGATTGGCAGCAGATGTTAGCTCAGGGCTAATCTTCCTCAAAAAAAAAAAAAACCACACACAAAATCGAGCAAAAATGTCAAGTCCTAAAAGCAGTGTTCCTGAGCGCCTCCTCCAGGCTGGTGCCACAGCAGGTCACTGACAGGCATCAACGCACTTCCTGCTGCAGGCCGGGCACCTCGACCATCCCATTTGACAGATGCAGCAAGGGAGCCTCGGAGCCACACAACATGCTCAGGGTCAGACTGCAGAGGGGGTGCTGCAAGGACAACCGAGGACTGAAACAGGCGAAACTTACTCCACATTTGTGGCAGCCCATAAATTACTCACTGATGCACACTGATCAGAATCACGAGCTTAGGACCTCAGAACCTGCAAAGTGACGTTAAAAGCTCTCCCATCTCCCACACTCCGGGCAGCCCACAGAGCTCCCGGTTCTGCCAGCCCCATACTTACAAGATCTCTGGGCAGGGGAGGTAATAGGGGACGTAGGAGACAGGCAGCCAGTCCTCGACATACACCCTGGGAAGGAAAAACACCTGTTGACTCACCTCTGTCCCAGAGGCCGAAAACTCACCTGGTGCGGGTTAATGGGAGTGAAGGCAACCGGGGGTCCCTCATCACTCCTTGGGGTACAAAGTCTCCTGGCCTTCCAGCATGCTGTCATTATTCACCCATAGAGCCATTCACTCCTGGGGCAGGAACGTTCTCGACCCAGGCCCTGAACACAAGGGGGTGGCAGTGAGGGGCAGCCCCGGGAGCTCCGCAGAAGGAACACACAGGTGAATCTGGGAGCATGAACAGGAGTTCCTCATCAACATGGCTAGGAAAATGGTCAAGGCAGAGAAAAGACCAAGTGCAGAGGCCAGTACAAGGCAAAGTTCAGAAGCCAAAACCAGTTTGGTCTCCCTGGCATGGGGTTGAGGGATAAGCGTGCCAGAAGAGGTGGGTGGGACCCAGGAATCCCCTGAAGGGGTCAAGATTTGGGGGTTGAGATGCAGGAGAGAGGGGGGCATCTGGGGGACAGAGGGAGGGCTCCATGGGGCATGCTCACCACAGAGTGCAGAGTACCGTCCCTACCAGCAGGCAGACCCCCAGGCCGATGGCCAGCCTGTGGCGGCGCATGGCCAGGTGCAGCACCTGAGCCTGGGCACCTGCTGAGACTGGGCGTGTCCTGGCCGATCAGCCCTCCTCTCTCAGGGATGCCAGGCTCTGAGCCTCTGTCTCCAGGGTCGGGGAACACCTGCAAAGGAATTTTCCTTTATCCAGGGGACAGTAGCCCCATCCTTGCTGCCCTACCCTCCTCTGGGCGGCCCCACCAGAGGAATGTGGATCCCTGATGTCTCCTCGTCCTGCTGGATCCCAGGCTGGCTCTGGCAGCTCCGGGAGGTGGACCGGGGACGGGGCTCAGTGCTCAGAGAAGGCTGCAGCTGTGCCTGGGGAGAGGCACTCTGGCGCGGCCTACTGGCCTCCAGCCTAGGCTCTCAGGTCTCCCTCCCAACCGTGTCTCTGGGCAGTGAGCAGAGGGTGGACAGCATACAGGGACCGGGGCAGCAGCGCGAGGGCGGGGCTTCGAGAAGGATTCCCAGGAACAACACTGAGGACGCCGGAAATCAAGCCTACAGCCGGCTCGACTGTGACCCCAGCGGACAAACGGAGCCTGGGCGAGGGCTGCGCAGAGAGGCGGCCGTGATTCCCCCGGGGGTAGGGGTGGCAGCAGTGCATTCCTCTAGGGGGCCCGCGGGAAGGGGCTTCAGTTCTCATTGGATTGGTAACCTTGAGCAAGGCACTCTCCGCACCCCCGCCCCCGGCCTCAGCGTCCCCCTCGGTTAAGGGGGCTTGGGTGGGGGGCACAATACGCACCGGCCCTGAAGATGACGCGCAGCAAGGGCTGTAAAGCGCTTGGTCCGGCCGGGCTCACAGTGCCCGCAGGACCCCCGGCAGTCGTGCAGGGGTCAGCCCGAGGTCAGAGAAAGATCCCAGGGCCCGGGCTTTGGGGCTTTGGCCCCTGTTCACCCCGTGGCCTCCGGCAAGCCCGCTCCCTTTCCCTCCCTCTGCGAGTCTCAGTTTCCCCACCAGGGCCACGGGGTCCTGCCAAGCTTCCGCCACGATCTTCCGCTCCGCGAGTCCCTGCCTCCCGGGGGCCCAGGCTGCCGGGACCACTCCGCTGACGCAGAGCCAGGCCCGAGCCCCGTGCGCCCCAGCCCGGGGTCCGAACCCACCAGCCTGGGGGCGAGACGCGCACCTCGACTTCCGCCCGCCAGGGCCAGCTCCGGTTTCTGGCCGCTCCTCCTCCACTCTGGGTTACGCGATGGCCTCAGCTACCCCCTCGCCGCGCCCGGCCTCCGGCAGCGGCAGCGTGCAGGGCTGAGCCTGACGCAGGGCCCGCAGGGGGGGGTGAGAGGAGCTGCGCATATAGGGTGGGGAGGGGAGGGGGCGGGGGCCGCGGGAGGGAAAAGGAGACGCGCGCCCCGCCTACGGCCGCAGCTCCTCCCACTCACCTGCGCTCCCCGCCCACAGCTTCTTCCCAGCCGCCTGCGCGCTCCGCCCACGGCCCCGCTCCTGGTCAAGCCGTGCTGGGTCTTCAGTTCCCATAGGCAAAGTGGAGGAAGATGGGCACAGATGTTAGCTCAGGGCCAGTCCTCCTCACAATAAAATAAAAGGTAATTGTTTAAAATAAAGGAAGAAAGAAGAGCGTGGAAGCAATCACAGGAAGGAAAAACCAGCTGGATGTCGCACTTTTTTCCGGGTTGGGATCATGTCTCCGTTGCCCAGGGCCTCTGAGCCTGGCACAGCGGCTCCCGAAATCTCCTGGAGCCTCTGTTTCCTCCCCTGTAAGATGAGGTTGGCCGTATTTCCTCCCACGGGCCGGCCTGTCGGGGTGGCATTGACTCTTGTTCACCCTAGGGACTCTGGCAGCCCCAGAGGGACCCTCTTACATCTCACCAAGTGTAGGCCAAGCGCAGGAGGTGGAGGGCTGGGAGGCAGAGGCCTCAGCTTAGGCGTGGAGAGGGAGGGCATACAGAGGGACCAAAAGGAAGGCATCCAGGGGTAAATAAGGAAGTAGTAACAAGGCGGGGGTCAGGAGGAGAGAAACCAGATACAGAGAAACAGTACGGAAGACAAAACAACAACGGAGGCTCAGAGAGGTTATGGGTTTGCTCAGGGTGGCAGTGATGCACCTTGAAGTTGCAAACCCAGATCTGCGTGGTGCCTGGGTACAGCCTCCCAGGTCCTTCCGGGGTGTCGTTGAGGTTTCCCTTGAGGACCACGGGTTCCTGTAAGGCAGGGCCTGTTTCCCCAGAGTCTGCGGGTGCCTGGCACAGGCCCAGGAGCTGGTGAGTGCTAGCTGAAAGGTGGTGCTGCCATTTTTAGCTGGAGACACTGGTCCCTGGGACCGACTGGTTTGTTTTCTTCACTTGGTTTAAGTTTGCAAAGTTCTCTGGTGTACTTTCCAGACACTGCTGCCTCCCTGGTAATAAAGAGGTGAGCAATACGGGGCAGGCCCAGGACTCTGCCAACTGGCCACAGCCCTGTCCTGGCCCAAGCAGCGTTCTCTTTCTCCCTCCTCCCCACGCCCCACCTCCAGGAGAGGACAAATTTGGCCTAAGGACAGCGTCAGGGCTGGCCTGGGAGGGGCGGTGAAAAGATGAGGGAAAACCAAAGGGACTTCCATGACTTGAAAATGTAACCACCGAGAACCGAGAGGGGAAAGGAAGGCGGGAGAAAGCGGCTGTGCATTTGGACATCTTTGTAATTGGAGAGCGTACGTGGACTGAACTAGGAACTTACGCAGAGGCCTGAAGTGTTCACAGGAACCAGCAGGCGAATCAGAAAGAACAAAACCAACAAAGCATGGGGGCAGAGGGAGAGGTGGGAGAAACGTGTGCCAGCTTGCAGTCCTCTCTCTCCTTCTCTCTCTCTCTAGATATAATTTTATAAGCTTTTATGAACTATTACTTGGATACCTTTTGAGGAGGAGGCCCATGGAGGCTGCGCTCCCACTTACTGGCTGTGTATGAGATGCTGTCCCACCTGTTAGGCTGTGAGCTCCCAGGGCAGGGATGGTGTCTGGGGTTCACCATAGTTTTCCAGGTCCCTGCACACAGGCACATGCTGAATGCATGAATGAGTATATGAACGAGTGAATGAATGAATGAACCCAAGACTTCTTGATGTCTCAGGTTTCTTGTCTGTAAAGTAACAGCACCTGACACGGATTCACTCATCTATTTATTCAGTAAACATTTAAGTGCCTACTACATGCCAGGCCTGGATCTGGAGGTTGGGACACAGCAGTGAACCAGCGCAGTCCCTGCTTGCATGGAGCTGACTAGAGCAGGGGTTAGATGAGGGATGCGGGTCACAGGCATGTGTCCTAGCTCATTTGGGAGCAGCTGCCAGGATCAGCAGGTCATGCACATGTGCCTGTCCAGCAGCTCAGGACTAACCCGGAGAGGCCTGTGGTGGAGAGGATGTACTCATGTTACCCTCATCCCCGTGTGGCCATTCCCCTCAGTGGTCCTCAGATTTCCCATCTGTAAAATGGCCATGTGAGGAAATCCCTCCCTAGGTTCCTCCGTGAAGTTGGTCTTGGTCTTCCAGGGAGACAAGGAAAAACTCTGCATGGTCTGTCTCCCCACTGGTAACCACGGGGCTGGGGTGGGGGGGTGGGGCACCGGGTTTGAGTTCACCGAGGGGACTGGGCTAGGATCCCCCTGTTGGTTAGTGGCCAAGCTGAACTGGGAGCCCTGCACTCCAAACCCAGTCCTCATGCTCCCCACCAGCCACAGACTCTCCACACTGGGTCTCTGACCTGCCCTTCCTCTGGGATCCTGGAGGATGCCCCAGGGTATTTCCCAGGAATAAGGGGCTTCATGGTGGGATCAGTCTGAGAACCTGGGATGACCAGGGGCCGGAGTCCTCCCCAGACCTTTACTCTCCAAGGCAAGGTGGGGACAGTCTATGGAGCCTGGTGGAGGGGGCTCGGCAGGGTGGAGGCAGGGCTCCAGTCCAGGGCACGGACCTCCCCTTCCTCACCTTAGGGAAGAAACTTCTGCCTGGAGCAAGGGCCAGCATTCTCTTGGGTGCCCAGCTGTAGCCTCCAAAAAGCTCAGTTTCGACCTGAACGTTCATCTTGACCCTCCTGGGTCTTGGTACCTGGGGATGGGCAGTGACAAGAGACAAGTCCTTGAGGACAGACCCCAAGTCTCAGCCTAACTGCCTAGCGTTCTGCCCTCGATTTTCTGGGTGACTTTGGACAAAACTCAGTTTTTCCTGCTATGAAAAGAGGCGATGGAATCCTTCAGTGCTTTTCGAGCTGTGCCCTGTTGGGGGGTGGGGGAGAGTGTCCCTGACATGTGTATGGGGGGTGGGAAGTCCAGGCCTCATCCCAGCTTTACCCTGAGCAGCTCTGTCCTGTGTTTGAGACACGGGGCTTCTGCGTCAGGTACCATTGGAACAACATGTAACTGCCCCCAAAAAGTGAGGTTTAAAAACATCGGGGCTGGGTGAGCTCTGGGCCAGCCCTGCCCCTCTGGGACCCTGTGCCTCTCTTTCTTGTTGACCTGGGTATTCAGGAAGACAAGTGGGTTCACAGTCCTGATGCCCGACCCCCGGCCCCCAGCCGAATCCAGGAGTCCTTTAATCAAAGCCCCAGCAGCCTGCCCTAGTCACGGCCTGGCCTGGCTGCAGGCAGAGCCCACAGCGCCCCTCCCTGGCACCTGCCCGGTCATGGGGAGCAAATCTGCCAAGCTCTTACTGCGGTCAGCGTGCTCCAGCCTCTGGAGCAGAACTGGGGAGAGGAGGGCGCCCCTTAGGCTGGGACCTGAGACCCTAGCACCTGGGAGAGGAGCTTCCTGGCGGGGCATGGAATCCAGACGCAGACCACAAATGTGGGAATGCCCGAGAAGGCGTGTTCAGCAGCCTCACCCCAGGGTGGGGAGAAGGGCTAGCACTTTGCAAATGGCAGGCCCAGCCTCCCTCGTCATTACGAAAATGAGTTAATTAGATGTCATCGCCCACCTACCAAACCCACAACAATTTCCCCCAGCACCCCTGAACCTTGAAACCCTCCCAGTGGTGGGAGGGGGATCTGGACTCTTCCTGGAGGGCGACTTGGCAATAAGACCCCAGACGTCCTCCCCTTTGATCCGGTTGGTGTACCTCTGAAACCAGAGGAGACGGCTAGAGATGGGTAGAAATTGCTCATGTGCACAGATGGTCATCCCTGCCTGTCTCTGAGAGCCCTGCAGGGGACACCCCCGGGGTCTGGCAGGGGGATCTGGTGTCCCTGGCAGTGGGAATGCTCAGACAGAGGTTCCCACATGCTGTCATCACCCGTTAGTGGGCCATGAACAGAGTTAGTGAGATAGGCTTGGATTTTTAAATAAAATAGAAAACATTACAGGCCAGCCCTCCTAGGAAGAGCCGGTGTTTCATGGAGAGTGTGTGTGTGTGTGTGTGTGTGTGTGTGTGTGTGTATGTGTGTACACTGTCAGATGTCAAATGTGTTCCAGACAGAGGACAGGCCAGAAGAAAGCTCAAGAGACAAGCCAGGGGACAGGCCAGGGTGTGTCTGGTGGACGTGAGGGAGGCGATGGAGGTATTCCAGAGGCTGGGGCCTCAGCCAATCCTGCTCAGGGCTCCATGTCCCCAAGGGGAGGCTGAGTCAGCAAAGGGGGAAGGGTGCGGGCGGAGGGCCTGCCTTGTGCCTTTGGCCCAGAGGGACCTGGCTTTAATCCCAGCACTGCTACTTAGGCGCCAGGGGGGATCTTGGCATCTCAATTCCCCACTTAGAACAAGGGGGAACCGTAGGCCCACCTCAGAGCTCCAGTACAGATGAAGTGAGGTCTGTCCTCAGGCTCCTGGCGCACATTAACACAGCTGAAGGATGACAGCACCCTCGTCCTCGTCCCCACCCTCACCCGCCTCATCAGGTGGTGACCTCACCCAGCCAGGTGCTCCCAGCCTGGCAGGCTCTAGGGAAAGGCGTGCACCTGAGGAACTCTGATGGGTCCCACATGTGTTCTCCAGAGAGGAGGATCCTTGCAGGCTTGTCTCTAGGGGACCTGCTGGGGCCTCTGCTTCCTCACGTTGTCACTGCAGCTGGTCGCCAGCAGACTAGCAGCCCGCCAGTCTGACGGAGCCCAGTGCTGTCTCCACAGTGTCCAGGGCGCGTGTCCTCGTCTGGGAGGTGGAGCAGCTCTGATGCGTGCGCCGTCTGCGTCCCCTCTCCTTGGAACTGCCTGGGTTTGCTCTCTGTCCCTTCTGGAAACATTGGCTTTCCAGAGTTTTTGGACCACGGGGATGTGAAACCTTTCCCTGGCCTTGGGTTGTGAGGAATGCTCTTCAGTTTGTGGCTCGTCTTTCCACCTGTCTACATTTTTCTTGTTTTTGTTTTGGTCACAGGAAGAGCAGGCATTTCCTGTCTGGCTTCTGGCTCTTGTGTCACACTTAGAACAGTAGTCTCTACCCCTAGACTATGCACACATTTACTAAAAGGACTTCATTTTATAAATCTAGCCTTTAATCTATCTGGGATTTCCCTTTCCAATAACAAAAATACCAATTCAAATAAAAACAAAAATTAATGCGTTCCTTCTTAAAATACGTGGGCAGACACAAGAGTCACCTATTGCATGATTCCATCTATAGGAAACGTCCAGAACAGGTAAAGGACAGAGACAGGAAGCAGATCAGGAGTTTTGGGGCCGGGGGAGGGAGGAATGGGGAGTGAACGCTTTGGTGCAGGGCTTCCTTCCGGGGAGGGAAATATTCTGAGCTAGACAGTGGTGATGGTTGCACAGCATTGTGAATGTAGTTAATGCTATGAATTGTTTAACACAGTGAAATGCTTAAATTTATTATATTTAAATTTTGAATCATAAAGTATAAAAAACCATAAGAGAGTAAAAGGAAAAAATAAAATAAAACCCAAACAAAAACAATAACCAGGGAGGGAAAGGAAGGTTCTGGTGAGGGAGCAGGTTGAAGCTGTGGTGCAGGAGCTGGCGCTGACGGCAGTTCCAGAGCTGGCTCTCCCTGCAGGGGTCGTGGGTCCTGAGCTGGCTCAGGGTCTCCTTCTCCTGCAGGAGCAGGAGCTGGTCCAGGTGAGGATTCTCCTGCAGAAGTCCTGAGTCCTAAGCAGCTGAGGGTCTCCTGCAGGAGCAGGTGCTGGTGAGGTGATGGCTCTCCCTGCAGGGGTGGTGGGTCCTACACAGCTCAGGGTCTCCCGTAGAAGCAGGTACAGGTGTAGGTCCAGGTGATGGTTCTCCCTGCAGGGATGGTGGGTCCTGAGCTGGCTCTCAGCTTCCTTTAGAAGCTGCTCCAGATGCCGGCCCTCATCCCAGCACTGCTGATGGAACCAATATTGGTGCTGCCTGCAGCTCTGGAGCAGCTGCTGCAGGTGGTACTACAGCTGAAGGTGGACGTTCCTCAGGCTCTGGAGCGGGCTTTACTTCTGCACTGGCTTCTGCACCTGTACCTGGCTCCTCAGAATGTAGGGGAACCGGAGCTGGAGCCAGTGCGAAGTACTGAGATGGTGCTGGAACTACAGGAGGAGAAAAGATGCCCCCCGCCTGCTCTCCATGTGCCTTCCCAAAGACAGAACACATCCCAGAGCCTTCCAGAGAAGCTCCAGCCCAGGAACCCACAACAAGACGTCTTTCCTGACCGCAGTCCACCAGAGGGGTGGTCTGAGGCCAGTCTTTGCTCCTGGCCAAGACTGCAGTCGGGGATTCTTCCTGTGTGTCCAGCACCAACCCCTCCTGATATGCTCACATGTACCCACCCCAGGCTTTCCCACTCTTGGGCTCTGCGTCAGTGGGCTCCAGGTACCCCAGCGGGGTCAGGAGAAGTTGGACACAGTGCTCCAGGTCAGAGCCAGGCACACTGAGCAGCACCATTGGCTGATGTAGGCTGGCAAAGTCTGAGGTTGATGGCAGTCTTCTGGGTGCTGGTCCAGCCAGGTGCCCAGGATGGAGGAGATGGCACTGGAGGCAGGTGGGTGGGCAGCAGAGTCGGAGGCCTGGCCTCTCCTTCCACGTGGCCCTCCCTTGGCACCCCTGTGGGAGCTGGGCTCCTGGGCCCGCCCCCGCCCATCCAGAGGCCAGTCCACCCCAGCCCACCCCCACGTGACGGTCCAGCAGGGGCAGGCCTGGTCAGCAGGCTAGGCCTGCGAAGTCTCCATAGGAGGGAGCCCTCCGTCAACACTGGGACCACCTCTCCCTTCCTCAGGGAACCCGACGCACTCCTGCCTGCCCCTGGCTGCTCCCCACTGGAATGTCAACTCCACGAGGACAGGGAGGGCGGTACCTGCTCTGTTCATCGCACTGGTGGGCGCACAGTAGGTGCTGCATGCACATGTGAGGAGGGAGGGACCAGGCGGAGTGTGTCCTGCTGCCCAGCCTTCACGGGGCCCTCGTGGCACCTCAGCCTGCTGCTCATACACCGCTGTGCTGTCTTACTCTCTGTGAGGCCTGTGTGGGTCTCGTCTCTACCCCGCCACTATCCTCGGGAATGGGGACACAGCCGGCCCAGCCCCACATGCAGCTGGCCTTGCAGGACTGAGGCACCAGGCTGATGTGTGAGCAGGTGGCTCCCCACACCTCCTTCCTGGGCCCTCGGCTCAGGGGGTGCTGAGCAGGGCTGGGATGGGCTGTGGTGGGGTTGGATTCTCTCAGGGGCCAGCTCTGAGGCCCCAGCCTCTTCTCTGCTCCACAGGGGGCCCGGGACCCCATCTGCGGCTCTCTGACTCCTTTCCTCCTACAGGAGAAGCCTCCGTACCTCAGCCCTCTAGCAGGAATCACGAAATGCGTGGGAGCCAGGGTGTTATGCCCCGCCCCCCAGCCACAGACCTCAGATGTCCCCCACCTTGGAGACACAAGCCCTTCTTCTTGACTCAAAGCCCAGTCATTTCCTGCTCGGTCCTGGGGTCTGCTGTCCTTGTCGCAATCAGGATGAAAGAATCCACATCTAGAGGAGGCCAGGAGGGCATTGCATACACCTGCTCTGATGTCTAGTGGGGACTGGCTGACTCCCCAATCAGACTGGAGCCCAGGAGGACACGGGTTTTCGTGTCTGTATATGGCGGGTTGGGGGGCTTTATATACATTCGCTGAATGAATGAAGCCCAACCAGCACCTTGCTGACATCTGAGTGGGCCTGGGCCCCGGGCAGCCCCCAGGGCTCCCTGCTCTGCCTGCACCCAGGCTGGGACCCACCCAGGGAATTGGAAGGCTCCTTTAGAAATGGGAAAGCAGCTGTGTCCAAGGCCACAGGGTGCTGAGGCTTGAGGCAGAGAGCTTCACGGGGGAGAGGAAAGTCCTAAATCAGGACAACCACAGCCCTCGGCAGCCCTTCCCACAGGGCCAGGCCTGAGCAAACTGAGGCTCAGAGAGGTGAAGGGACACTCCCAAGACACACAGCCAGGAGGTGGGCAGGGAGCCACGGTGCTGTGCAGGGGCGGGGCGCCCACCTTTTGAACAGCAGGTCCAGGACCTGCTGGGTGGTGAAGGCTCGGCAGGTGCACAGGAGGAGGGTGACACAGGAGAGGTCGCTGCCCTGGAAGGCAGGCACCAGGCGCTCCACAGCTTCTCCAGGGTATCTGCACTGACTGTCCCCACCCTGCGGGTCTCATCCAGGTTCAAGGCCCACTCATTTTCACACTGGGACTCATTTTCGGACAAAGAGGGACAACTCAAAAAATGGACAGTAGAAAAATACTTGTGTTCACATCCTGAAGTGTAACAGTGTATAAAAGATTGGTTCTGACAATCTTGCAACCATGTGAAAAGTGACTTTGCACCTGCCCAAGGCTGGGGCTGAACGGCGAGGGCAGAGGATGGGAGGAACTCATACTCCATGGGTTGGGGCTGTGGCCACTCAGGGGCAAAGCCCTTGGCAGAACCCTGGGTAGTCACTTGGGTGGCTTCTAGGCAAGAGGCCTTCCCCAGCCACCTCTGGGCCCTGGTTCTAGAGACCTCTCCAAACCTGCACTCACCTGGAGCCACCCCATTGGTGGTGTGGTACACCTGCCCCTCACTCAGGGAGACAGCGTGAGTGTCCCCGTCCAGTAGCTCCTCCCTGATCTCCTGCGTGGAGCTCTGCAAAGACGGTGACCAGCAGCCGGCCCCAGGGCATCAGAGCCCTGCCTGGCCTCATCCCTGCTTCCTCTGCCCATTGACCTTCTGCTCCCAGATCAGGCACAGACCTCCACCTGGGATGAAAGAGAGACATCCTGAGGGCTCAGGATAATCCTGGGACAGAAGAGTGAAACTCCAGCACTCCACGTCCCGCCCAGTCAGCCTTGACCTGGGGTGTGAACTTGATCTGCCCACCAGGCTTCCAACCCCTCATCATCCCTCTTGCTTGGGGCAAGCCCACCCCAAGAGTGCACACACACACACACACACACACACTCACACATGGGGAGGGGAGGTGGGGCTGCCCAGGTGGGATCAGAGTGGTGACCCGGCCTGGACTGGTCTGTCCTGGCTCTCCCCGTGTTACCTTTGGGTCCTTTCAGGCAAATGGCCAGAAGCATCTGAGGTGAGACCTGACAACGTCTGCAGCGTCGGAAGATGCTCTCACTGCGGGCATTTTTGAAGCCACAGCCTCGGGACATGGGGATACAGCAAGAGAGCATGCTGCTCTCCAGAGCGTGTCCAGCCAAGTGAGCTGGATAGGGAGCTGTCTCTAGGATGTGCATGCCTGGGGCAGACCCCGGGAACCTTGGGGACCCCCTGCCCATCAGCGTGGCATCTCTCCCCCTCCCCATGCTATGGGCCCCAGGCACATGGCAGGGGACCGGCTGCCCCTGCCCCCTGGCAGAGCTGCCTCCACCTCCTGCTTCTTTCCCCTGTCATCTCCCAGTGTCCATTCCCCTTCCAGACCCCACTCGGGCAGTCAGTGTGTGTGTGTGTGTGTGTGTGTGTGTGCGCGTGTGTCTGTGCCCATGTGGGGATGCCCAGAGGAAAGAGCCCCACATAGGAGGGGGTGGGAAGGGGTCTCCCAGGATATTAGGGTCTCTCATTCCCAAAGTAAATCTTATGGGAAGGTTGGAACCCTCCCTTCTCTGGGGTCTACCCATCTTTTGGACCCCAGGCCAGACCCTGACTTTCCCGGCCTCAGTTTCCCAATTGTCTCATGAAGGTTTGGATGAGGAACGGCATTAGTCCGGCTCAGCGTGGGCGGCCCGGGGCTCCGGCTCCCGGGCTGAGAGCGGCAAGAGAGCGCTCCCTGAGGGCGCGGACTTCCCACTAACTGGCATGGACCCTGCGGTGGCGCGCGCACACCGGCCAACAGACAGCGCGTGCACGTGACCCCGCCCCACGGCGGGTTCGCCACAAAGCACCAACGGTTCCCCACGGGGCTACCGTTGTCCCCCTGGTACCCTGTGTCCCCATCTCCAACTGCTGCTCTGTGACCCCCACGTCCCCTTTAGCCTGGGGCAACCCCCACCCCAGCCAGGCCAGCCTGAGGACTAGGTGGGCATGGAGACCTGGGGACAAGAGAGACATGGATCCCGCCACCCCCCCCCCGCCCGCCCCCCATCGCCACTGTCCTGGTCTCCAGACTCCACCCCAGGGTCTAGCTAGGTCATGGCTGGGTCAGGGTGAGGTGGAGGTGGCAGTGGACACTGAGTGTGGGTCCGGAGAAGATCAGGCCACCCCTTCCCCTCCTCCTGTACACCCCTCTCTCCTTGTCTTCCTGGCAGGAGCTGGGGACACGGGGTCCAGCCCTTTGGCCCTCTTCATCTCCTGCTTTAATCCCAGCACACCCTCCCGAGGGCGGAGTCACTGACCCCATTCTCAGTGGAGGAAACTGAGGCTGGAGAACTCACCACATGAGCTGGCCTGTCCCAGGGCCGGGGCATGGCCCAGCTGGGGTCGCAACCTAGGTCAATCTGACCCCAAAGGCTGTGCTTACACAGGAGCCCGAGGAGGGGCCTCTGAGCCCAGCCTTGGAGGTGAGTCCACGGAGGATGGGTGGCGACAGGGAGGGACGCTGCAGGCAGGGGGCTCTGAGAGGGGCAAGGGCTTGGTGGGCTCCCTGAGGGAGGAAGGCTCTAGGGAGGCTGGAGTGGGGTGAGGGGTGCACAGGGGAGGGTGTCTGGCCCGGGTCACACAGGACTCTGAGTGTTGGGCAAAGAGTCAGGAGTCACTGCAGGTTGGGGGCAGCAGGGGCCACAGTGCAGGAGGTTTGATCAGAGCCCCAGCATCTCAGAGCTGGAGGGAGCTTAGTGGGCACGTGATCCACCCCACCCAAGCACACATCTGTGAGCCCCAGCCAGGCATGAGGCCTGTCTCAGTTTCCTCCTGTGCACGGTGGGGGCTGTGGAGGTCATCTGCCTCCTCCCAGAGCTAGACATCCTGCCTGGAGGACCCAGAGACGGCTTCTTGTCAAGAAGCCATTCAGGTGAGGCCTGTCCCCAGAGTGGTCTGAGTGAGGGGACCAAGGGGACACCCACCTGCCGCTCACCAGGACGCCTGGTCCACAATGCTGTTCTTCCTGTCCAGGTTCACACGGGTGATGCAGCGTCACTCAGCCTCTGGATGGAGAGCAGCAGCGAGGAGCTGTGCTCACAGACCCTGAGACACAGCGCCCGTGTGTGCCCAAGGCTGCCACAGCGTGGTGGAGGCTGGGGAGGAGGAGGTGCTGCTGGAGGCCAAGCTGATGCCAGAGATCATCGGGGACCATGCGGAGGTCAATTTCCATGACTATGAGGGGTGGTATAATCAGCAGAAGCCCTGGACCCTACAGGGCACCTATGCTGGCATCCATCTCCAAGGGACCTAGAAATTGGGGCTCCTTGGTCCCTTTGTGGGTGTGGAGTGGGGAACACTGGCCCCGGGAAGGGAGGGGCTGGGAGGGGCTGGCAGGGAGAAAGGGTGGGGCAGTCACCTTCTTTTCCTGGCCATCAGGGGGCTCCAGCACAAAGCTCATGTTGATCTCCTCCATTTTGGGGCTGGAGCAGCTGGCCGAGAGCATGCTGAGCAGGTGGGCCATGTCTCCGTTGCTCAGGTAGGGCCTGCATCTGAGCTGTCACAGGACTTGGAGTGGGGACTCCTGCTGGTCTTAAGTTTTGTGTTGGGGGCCTCGTGGCTGGAATGAAGGGCTGGCTTTTCAGTAGTCAGACACGCTGGGTGAGTGGGTGCTCTTGGTGGCCCTGTGACTGGCTGGTGTCTGGGACTGGTTAGAAGATGCCCTTAAGTAGTTAGACAAAGTACGGCAAAGTAAGCCTAAAGTTTGCGAAACAAAGGTAGTAATGAAGACTGGAGCAGAGAGAAAGGGAACAGAGGGACACTGGGGGAATCAATGAAGCCGACAGTTCTTTCTTTTAAAGATTTACAAAGTTGACCAAAATTGAACAATTTTACACCAACAGATTGGCTAAGTGAGAGGAAATGGATAAATTCTGAGAAGCACACAAAGTACCAACACTGACTCAAGAAGAAATGGAGAATCTGAGCAGACCTACGATAAGAGAATAGGCTGAAGCAACGTAAGCACTTCCCAACAAAGAAAAGCCCAGGACCAAATGGCTTCACTGGCCACTCGTCCCAAACATTTAAAGAAGAGATAACACAAATCCTTCCCAAACTCTTCAAAAAGTGCCAGCGGAGGGAACACGTCCTACCTCATTCTATGATGCCAGCATTACCCTGATTCCAAAGACCTTAAAGAAAAGACAACTGCAGACCAAAATCCTTTATGAATAAAGATGCAAAAATCCTCAACAAGATACTAGCAAACAGAAGCTAGCAGTGTTTTGGAAGGACTAAACATCATGACAAAGTGTGATTTATCCTAAAATGCAAGGGCTGTTTAATTAATCATTAAGTTATTTTTTCCATACATCACATCACTAAAAAACACACAATCACCTCACTTGATGCAGAGTAAGCTTTGAAAAAATCCAAACATTTTCATGATGAGTGCTCTCAATAAAATAGAAAGAGAAGAGAATTTCCTCAATATGGTAAAGGACATTTATGAAAAACTCAACCTGTGCATCATCTTCAATGGTGAAAGACTGGAAGTTTTCTCTCTAAGGTCAAGAATAAGTCAAGGATTCTCCTTTGTGCCACTTCACTTCCGCATTGGAATGGAGGTTTTGTCAGAGTAATTAGACAAGAGGAAGCACCCAAATGGAAAGAAAAAAAAGAAAAAATAGACATGACATGATCTTATATGCAAAAAATCCTAAGGAATAAGAAAAAGAGTTGTACGAGACTATAAACATTTTCATCGAAGTATCAGCAGAGAAGACCAACACTTGTGGATCAATGGAATAGAACTGAGAGTTAAGAAATAAACCCACACATGTATGGTCAGTTGATTTTGAACTCAGATATCAAGATCACTCAATGAGACAAAAACAGTCTCTTCAAAAAATGGTGCTGGGAAACTGTATATCCACATGCAAAAGTGTGAAGTTGGAGCCTTACCTAACATCATACTAAAAAATTAACTTTAGGGGCCGGCCCCGTGGCCGAGCGGTTGAGTTCGCGTGCTCTGCTTCAGCGGCCCAGGGTTTCGCCGGTTCAGATCCCGGGCGCGGACATGGCACCGCTCGTCAGGCCACCCTGAGGCGGCGTCCCACATGCCACAACTAGAAGGACCCCCAACTAAAATATACAACTATGTACAGGGGATTTGGGGAGAAAAAGCAGAAAAAAAAAAAGGAAGATTGGCAACAGTTGTTAGCTCAGGTGCCAATCTTTAAAAAAAAAAAATTAACTCTAGTTGGATCGAAGACCTAAATTTAAAAACTGAAACTGTAACACTTTTAAAAGAAAAGTAAGAGAGCTGTGGGCAGCTCTTCATGGCCCTGGATTGGGCAGATGTCTCTTATATCCCATCCAAAGCACAAGCAACAAAAGAAAAAACAAATAAAGTGGACTTTGTAAAAATTAAACACTCTTGTGAGTTAAAGGCCAATCTCAAGAGAGTATCAAGAAAACCCAAAGAATGGTAGAAAATGTTTGCAAATCTGACAAGGGTCTTGCATCCAGAACATACACAGAACTTCTACAAGTTAAGAGCATCCATACGGGCCAACCCGATGGTGTAGTTTTTAAGTTCACGAGCTGTGTCTCATCAGCCCAGGGTTCACAGGTTGGGATCCTGGGTGTGGACCTAGCACCACTCATCAAGCCACACTGTCGTGGCATCCCACATAAAATGGAAGAAGATTGGGACAGATGTTAGCTCAGGGCCAATCCTCCTCAAGCAAAAGGAGGAAGACTGGCAACAGATGTTAGCTCAAGGCCAATCTACCCCCCCACACACACACAAAAAGAATATCAACACAAACAACCTGATTAAAAATAATAGACATTGGGGGCCAGCCTGGTGGTGTAGCAGTTAAGTTCGCGGGCTCCGCTTCGGTGGCCTGGGATTTGCTGGTTCGGATCCCGGGTATAGACCTATGCACTGCTTATCAAGCAATGCTGTGGCAGGCATCCCACATATAAAATAGAGGAAGATGGACACAGATATTATCTCAGCAAAAAGAGGAGGATTGGCAGTGGATGTTAGCTCAGGGCTAATCTTCGTAAAAAAAAAAAATAATAGACATTTCTCCAAAGAAGATATACACATGGCCCATTAAGCACACGGAAAGATGATCAACATCATTAGATATTAGGGAAATGCAAGCCAAAATCACAATGACATACCACTCCACACCCACTAGGGTGGCTATAATTTAGAAGAACAGAACATAATAACTGTTCAAGAGGATTTTGAGAAATTGGAATCCTCATCCATCACTAGGGGCAATGTAATATGATGGAACCACTGTGCGAAAGAGTTTGACGTGTCCTCAAAAAGTTAAGCATAGTGTTATCATTTGATCCAGCAATTCTGCTCCTCATTGTATAACCGAAAGAATTGAATACAGGTATTCACATAAAAACCTGTACATAATATTCATAGCAGCATTATTCACAAGAGCCAAAACACGGAAACAACCCAAATGCCCATCAACAGTTGAAGAGATAAACAAAATGCAGTGTATTCACCATGGGATTTATTCAGCCATGAAAGGAATGAAGGATTGAGACACGCTACAATGTGGATGAACCTGGAAAACATTATACTAAGTGAAAGAAGCTAGACACAAAAGACCATATACTGTGTGATTCCACATGCATGAAAAATCTGAGATAGGTAAGTGGGTAGAGACAGTTGGAGATGAGTAGCTGCCAGGGAGGTGGGGGAGTGGGGAATGGGAAGTGGCTGAGTGATGGTCACAGAGTATGGGGTTTCTGTTTGAAGTAATTAAAATGTTTTAGAACTAGACAGTGGTGATGGTGCACAGCAGACAGAATGTAGTTAATACCACTGAATTGTGTAATTGAAGAAGATAAAGTTTATGTTATATAGAATTTAAAACATAAGATACATGTAATCATGGGGGGAAAAGAAAGAAAGAAAGAAAAGAAGCTAGAAAATAATAAAAAGAATACCCTCACAAAAGAGGATAGGAAGACCCTGGTTCTGGAGCTGGCACTGGCTGTATCTCATGAACTGCCACTGGAGATGGGGCTGGAGCTGGCTCTAGCTGTGAATGTGATAACTGGAACTGGCTCTAGTTCTGGAGTGGGTGCCAGAGCTAACTCTAGGTCAGGAGCTGGTGCTAGAGGGGGATCGGAAGCTGGTTCTAGCTCTGAGTCTTGCATTGGCTCTATCGTTGGAATTGGCGTTGGAGCAAGTTCTAGCTCTAGAGCTGGTAATGGAGCTCACACTAGGGTTGGTGATAGAGTAGTCTCTATCTCTGGAGTTGCTGGTAGTGGTGGTACTTGAGCTACTCCTTGCTTCGGTGTTGGAGTAGAGCTCTTGTTGCAGTTTATTGGCTGTGGAGCTTGCAAGCCTCTAGCTTGGAAATGGTGCTAGAGCTGATTCTGGAGCTGACTCTCATGTGAGCTGATTCTAGCTCTAGATCTGGTGCTAGAACTATCACTGGAGATTTCATAGGAGTTGTTAATGAAACTGCCTCTATCTTTGGCATTTGTGTTTGAACTGGTACTAGAGCTCTTTCTACTTCTGGTTTTGGTGCTAGAGCTGATACTGGAGCTGTTTCTACCTCTGGAGCTGGTACCAGAGATACTTGTAGCTCTGGGGCTGGTGCAGGAGCTGGTTCTGACATGGACTCTTAACTCTGGAGCTGGTGCTAGAGCCAGTGCTGCAGCTGGCTCTTCCTCTGAACTTGGTGTTGCTTCTAACTCTGCAATTAGTTTGGAGCTGGTTCTAGCTCTAGATGAGCCCTGCCTCAGTTTCCTCCTATGTACAGTGGGGGGCTATGGCGTCCCTCTTCCCAGGGATGGGTATGTTGCCATTGTCTGTGTTCAGGCTCACGCAGATGATGCAGCATTGCCTACATGCTGGCTATAGAGCTGCAGCAAGGAGCTGTGGTTGCAGACTCCCGAGACAGAGTGTTTGTGGGTGCATGTGGCAGTCAGGACCTGGTGGAGGCTGAGGAGGAGGAAGTGCTGTTGGAGGCCGAGCTGATACCAGAGATCATGGGGGACCACGGGGAGTTGAGTCTCCATAACTGGGGGCAACGACATGATCAGCAGATTCTCTGCACCCTGCAGGGCACCCTAGGCCGGTGTCCATCTCCTGGGCTTCTTGGCCCCTTTGTGGGTGTGAAGTGGGGAACACTGGCCCCCAGAATGGAGGGGCTGGGAGGGGCTGGCAGGGAGAAGGGGTGGGGCAGTCACCTTCTTTTCTTGGCCATCAGGGGGCTCCAGCCCAAAGCTCATGTTGATCTCCTCCATTTTGGGGCTGGAGCAGCTGGCCGAGTGCATACTAAGCAGGTGGGCCATGTCTCTGCTGTGGAGGTCGGGACCCCACCTGAGCTTTCTCAGGACGTGCGGTGGGAGCTGTCCCTGGTCCTGGACTCTGTATTGGAGGCCTGGTGGCTGGATGGAAGGGCCAGCTTTGCAGTAGTCATGCACATGGGCTGAGTGGGTGCTCTGGGGTGCCTGTGGGCACAGATAATAGTGACCTGCACCTGAGAAGGTGTGAGGGAGGTGCACAGAGGGCAGTGGCTAGGTGACAGGCAGGGCTTTGTGCCCATGGGCAGCACTTCTTGGCAAAAGTCAGCTACTCCTTTGGATCCCAGATCAGAAGGCACCTGAGGCTGCGAGTGGTCCATGGGAGGCCAGGTCAGCCTGGTGACAGGCAGGCATTATGTCCAGCAGCAGGAGAGGTTCAGGGTGAAACTGGAGTCTACGGGCAGTCTGGGCTTGTAGCTAGGGCAGAAGGTGCCAGGCTGGCCTATGTCATGTTAGTCTGTAAGTGCTTAGCTACCCGGCTAGCTAGACCCTGGGGAGGGCAGTCGTGTGCTAGGGACCAATTAGAAGATGCCCTGGGCAATCTTGAGTCCCTTCTACTTGATGTGAGGGAGGGTTGAACTGGCTCCATGTCTGTTGTTCACCTGCTTAGTGAAGGTCAGCTTCTTCAGGACGTAGTCACAGTTGGTGGTAGAGATCATGGTGCAGAACACGTTGGGTGTTTTCAGGGGTCTTCACCTCTGGTGGGAGTGGCGCCGAGGAAGGGTCAGCTGTGCTCATGAGGGGGCTGCAGGCCAGGGAGAGGGACATGCACAGAGACAGGAAGCAGGTTAATGATTGGCAGGGGGTGAGGGAGTGGGGATTGAGATGTGACTGATTAATGGGTACAGGGTCTTTGTTGGGGTGATGAAAATGTTCTGGAACTAGATAGTGGTGATGGTGCCCAGCAC